ATACTATGTTTTAACCAACTTCCACCGTGACCCACCGTGCTTAGGGAGACCGTGGTGAGCCTGGATCTGCTGGCGCCATGGGACTTGCTGGTGCCCCTGGACCTGCTGGACCCACTGGAGCTGCCGGCAGACCTGGAAACCGTGGAGAGGCTGTAAATATTCTAATCATTAAATTCCCAATATAAGCAAAATTGTTTACTGGGTACTTTTATCTGCAATCGTCTGCTTGTTTCACTTTTCTTCCTGTCCCTAGGGCCCATCAGGTTCCTCTGGAGCTGTTGGCCCCGCTGGAGCTAGAGGTGCCCCTGTAAGTATAATACACTAGCAAAGCAAATGAAATTACAAAAGGAATGCACCACAATATGTTTATGCCTGTGTCTTTGTTCAATGTAGGGACCTGCTGGACCTCGTGGTGAGAAGGGAGTTGCTGGAGACAGGGGAGAGAGAGGCATGAAGGGTCTGCGTGGACATCCTGGTCTCCAGGGAATGCCTGGACCTTCTGTGAGTGGCTGCACAGCAGCATAATGCACAAGAACTGTATGAATACTCAGCCCCATTATGCTCATAAACAATACAGATTCCAGTAGCATTTGCAGGGCAATGTAATCACGGAGAGGAAAGACTTGCTGTCACTAAAATGCCACTGAGTGATGTGTTTTTTTTTACCACAGGGACCTTCCGGTGACACTGGTGCTGCTGGAGCTCATGGACCTTCTGGACCCAGAGTGAGTAGAATCCCAGCAGCTTGCTTTTTTTTTTTTTCTTCTACATGCATCGAAGATCATCTGTGCATGCCCTATTGAAAAGTTTCACCGTTAGTGAGAAATAAGTGTATGTAGCTCCTAGCTCCTAGCCACTCCTACCCACATACACTCCTGCTATTTTTGACAGAGCACCTTTAATTTGTAGATTAATAAAAACACAAATGTTTGACTGTGTGATGTGATTTCTTTAGGGACCTGCTGGACCCCATGGACCCGTTGGTAAGGATGGCAGACCTGGTGCCCATGGTACTATGGGTGCTCCTGGTCCTCGTGGACCCAATGGATACACCGGACCAGTGGTAAGTTTGCCTTTATATCAACAGCTTCATCACCTTCTTAAATACTGCAACTTTTATTTTGCACCCTGGACAGTTTAGTGCTATTACAGAACTGTTCTTTACACATCACTCCATTGTCTTATCCATGTTAGGGTCCTCCCGGACCTCCCGGTCTGCCTGGACCTCCCGGCCCTGCTGGTGGTGGATACGATGTCTCCGGAGGATATGATGAGTACAGAGCTGACCAGCCTGCTCTGAGAGCCAAGGACTACGAGGTCGATGCCACCATCAAGTCTCTCAACACTCAGATCGAGAACCTGCTCACCCCTGAGGGATCCAGGAAGAACCCTGCCCGCACCTGCCGTGACATCAAGCTCAGCCACCCTGACTGGAGCAGCGGTAAGCTTGGCTTCAGCTCCTCAAAATAATAGCAAAGTGCCACTGTTACTATGTTCTGAAGCATTTACAGAGGCCATGCGTGTAACTGACCTACTCCGGTTAATGCGACTCTCTGCTTTTCCTGAAGGATTCTACTGGATCGACCCCAACCAGGGCTGCACCAACGATGCCATCAAGGTCTTCTGCGACTTCACCACCCGTGAGACCTGCATCTACGCCCACCCTGAGAGCATCGCCCGCAAGAACTGGTACAGAAGCACAGAGAACAAGAAGCACGTCTGGTTCGGTGAGACCATCAACGGTGGCACTGAGGTGAGAGAGCAGGCAACTTGATTCATGTGAAATGAAAACAAGCTTAACCTCTACAGGAAACACTCACTGGTTCTTTCCTTCCTGCAGTTCACCTACAACGATGAGACCCTCAGCCCCCAGAGCATGGCCACCCAGCTGGCCTTCATGCGCCTGCTGTCCAACCAGGCCAGCCAGAACATCACCTACCACTGCAAGAACAGCGTTGCCTACATGGACGGTGAGAGCGGCAGCCTGAAGAAGGCCGTGGTACTCCAGGGCTCCAACGATGTGGAGCTGAGAGCTGAGGGCAACAGCCGCTTCACCTTCTCCGTGCTAGAGGACGGCTGCACTGTGAGTAGCATTGCTGTTACGTTTCAGTCTGCTTCACAGCTTTGTGACTTGTGTTGTTAAACCTCTGCTCCAATACTCAACCTCTCTTTTCCTCCGATTTACCCCTGCAGACACACACTGGTGAGTGGAGCAAGACAGTGATCGAGTACAGAACAAATAAACCATCTCGCCTCCCCATCCTCGACATTGCACCTTTGGACATTGGTGGAGCTGATCAGGAGTTTGGTTTGGACATTGGCCCAGTCTGTTTCAAATAAATAGACTCATGATAAATTAACACCGGAAAAAAAAGAGAGGAAGAACGAAAAAACAAAAACAAAATCTCTGCCCTTCTATCTGTGTTCGTTTTTTTTTTTTATACTGAATGCTGATTTCTCTCTGCGCATCCACTTGCTTACGATGGGCAACTATCGGAGAGGACTGAACGGACTGATCGGAGCGTTGGTGCAATGCAAAATAAATACAGCAACCCAAAGGGACGCGGGAATACACCTTGTTGTGGGACATCATGTCATCCTTTTGTAAAAAATAAAAGAAGTGTAATAAAAACGCTGAAAGTATGCATCACTTTGTGGTCTTTGTATATCTTCCAAAGAGGAGGTTTAAAACCACAATTTCCATGAAAAAAGGTTTAAACTACCTCATGCCTGTACCTAAAGAAAATACTATTACCAAAACCTGGGTCCACAACCGAGATGTTATGATTTCTAATGCTTCAAGCTTTGTCCCGTATCGGAAGGTGCTCGGTTACTTGAAGCAAAGATCTATGGTGCTAATATGCAGCTGTGGAGCAAACCACTTTTTTAACTGTATTATTTTGTATTGACCTTTAAGGAGTCTTGCAATCTTCCCCTGATATTCCTCCATTCTAAGCAGGTGGAATGAGTCTAAACCTGATGTTTAGGGTTTTTATTCTTTTGTTTTCTTTTTTTCTAGATTTTATTTTTCTTTGTTTGTTTGTTTTTTTTCCCTTCAGGCTTTTTCACTCTTCCAATCCCACACCCAGTGTTCATTCTGACAGCACATAATTCATCTCGTTCTGAATGGTTTTTTTAAGGCGGCCTCTCTCTCAAAAAATGACACAACAAAGTCTATTGTACCTATTTTGTATATGTGAGATGTTTAAATAAATTGTGAAAAGTTCTGAAATAAAGCATGTCCAATGTTCCAAAACACACTACGCAGTGACTTAAGTGCTTTCGTGTTTTAAGGACACCGATGAAGGTGTGTCACTGTACTTTGGTTCTAGTTTGGCTGATGATTTACATATCATCACTGACTTTAAACATCTTCCTATTGTGGAAGCACAGCAGTGTCCTCATTCACATCCCCCACCTTTTTTTTTTTAACCTTGCTTTCCAACGGTACATTCAATTTTAATGTACAGTAAATTTCTGTTTACACTGTCCATGCCAATGTGTGATTACTAAAGTGCATTGTTCCTTGTAAATATGCATCCTCTCATGTTGCTTTTTTTCCTTGCATAATACAGCTTTTGCATCCAAATAAATCTCTGTGATTTGGATTCAAGGCTTGCAGTCATGCGTGAACATAGTCATAAGTCAGTCTCAGTTAAGAATACGGCAGTTCTGGAGATAAATAGGTGTTTCACTCAGGGTGATGGCGTATGAGATCAGCTGCAACACCTTCTGCAACCACTAGAAGGCAGTGTGGCGTGCATTTACGAGAGTATCTTCTTCATGTCCAGTTCATTAAGGTTAAGTCCACACGTACACGGGTATTTATGTCATAAGGACACTTTAAATGCCTGTAGGTGGCAAGGTTATTATAGTTAACTAAATTTAACCTAAAAACTAAAATCAGATGTGGAAAAAACATTTTACTGAACAAAAATAAAACTTAAAAACTAGACTTTGGGGGAAAAAAATAAAACCAATTAAAACAATTTTGTGAACTTGAAAATCTGATTAAAACTAAATAAAATAAATGAGTCATTGAAAGACTCTGGATATCTACAATACTACAACAAACTAAGACTTAACTGCCTTCAAAAAGTTATAAGTTTTTACTGCAATACCTTTATTAATTTTCCCCAGTCTGGCTTTGACACATGGACTCAATATTGTAATAACAAATAAAAACTAAAACTGACACTGAAACTAACAGCTGAAACTAAACATTTCAAACAACAAAAACTAAATTGAAACAAGAATATCCGCTCTGGAAACTCACTGAGACTAAACTGAATTAAAACAAAAAGTCAAAACAAAAAAAAAACAAAAAAAAGAATACTAATTAGAAAATATAAAACTACAACAACTCTGATGGGTGCATGGGAAATTAGACAGAAGAGTACGATTTATACATTATCCAATCTTTTATGCATACAATTGATTATTAACAGTACAGAAATCAGGCTATGGGTCCTTTAGATGTCATGCTGACGTCCAAACAAATGATGATTACACAACGTAACGTTGTGTAATCATCATTTTAAGAAAATAAAAGTCCATTTACTTTCCAGGTCTTCTTAACATGCTTAACACTTCTATGTCAGTTCAGGATTCTGTAATGTTTCTTCTACTTTATTTAATGTCCCACTTTATTTATATACCAGTTTATGTAGTAAATGTTATATTACAGATAGATGATTAAATCCCGAGACAATCAAACCACTGAGATGTTTATTAAAATATAAAGTAAGCTGAAATTACAGAAAGAAGAAGAAGAAAGTTTTCACACGAATCTATTCAGTGTGGTGAAACACTAAGTACACCCTTCCTACTTCCAAAGGAGTTAAGAGTGTAGCAGCAGTCAAGTGTTGCTAATCAAAACCACTTGATTACATGATCATCAGCAAGTGTGAGCTCCTCTATAAAGGCACAACTTTAGGCGGTTTGCAGGTCTGGACCGATTAGCTGTGTGACAATACAATGCTGAAATCTTCCCAGGAGCGGAAGTCCCAGCAAATTCACCCCAAGGGCAGGCTGCACAATGCTCAGAGATATTCAAGCATGGTTTCTTTGAAGGGTACCAACAGAATGGATTAAGTTTGCAAAACCAGACATCCGGAGCCATCTCCTTTGGACATACAAGATCATGGTTATAATGCATAATCCAACAGCCCAGTCATACCAGCTGTTAAGCATGGTGGTGGAGGGGTGATGATCTGGGCTTGTTTTGCAGACACAGCATTAAGCTTGTTGTGGACCCCTGGACATAAATGCAGAGCACAATGTAAGGCTAAAGGATGTTTTATTAAAAGAGTCTTTCTTTTAGTCGGTCCCTCAGGGGGTTGAAGGCGTCAGCAACAGGTGATAGGTCAGAGGAGACGAAGACAAGTAGAGCAACAGCAATAGATTGCATGTGAGTATTACAGGAGCCGAGCTTGTTTACTGCATGCTGGTGTCAACTGAGGAAAAACATCGCCCTCTTAAAGTCACGCCCCAATCAGCTCAACAGCAGGTGAATCAGGAATGTCTTCCCGGTGCATGATTAGTAGGGCAGAGATCCCAGCGATGCGCCGCCTCTGCAGCATAGCACACAACATTCCCCACACTCATGTCAACTGAGGACGGAAAGAGATCGCAAAAAGAGGGAGAGAGAGACGGGTGAGTCAGCTGAGGACAGTCTGGGCAACTTGGAGGCATTAAGTTGATTGTGAATTCCTCTGTATGCCAAAGTATTCTAGAGTCAAATATGAAGCCATCTGTCTGACATCTGAAGCCTGGCCAAACGTGGGACATACAAAAAGCCAGTGACCCCCAAAGCACAGGAGCAAATCTACAGCAGAATGGCTGAAAAAGAATTTAAAAAAAATGTTGTGTTGCAACTGCCCGGTCAAAAGTCCAGACTTCAACCTGACTGAAATGCTGTGGCAGGCATTTAACAGAGCTGCACACAGAGCCGTGTAGATAATCGTTGGAGCAAAAAGACAACAACAAAAAGCAAACAAAGAAAAAAGAAACAAAAAAACCCAAAAACTTAGCTGTGCACAGGGCTGGACTGGGACAAAAAATCGGCCCGGGCATTTTGACTAGAGACCGGCCCACCAGGTATTATAGGAAAAACCATAAAGCCTTTGAATGAAAACAAACGCTGTTGTCACAGTGATGTACACTGTCTTGTTGATATATATGTCAGTCTAATAAACTTAAACCTACACCATCCTCCTATTCTGGTATTCTAAACAGTACCCGAAAGTAGACTGCTTGGTCGAGTTAACCTCCTGAACTATCTTTTCAAATTCAAATTCAAATTTTATTTGTCACGTACACAGTCATACACAGTACGATATGTAGTGAAATGCTTGGACAACTGCTCGTGACCTAAAGAAAACAAAAAAGGAAAGGCTATGAATAAGATAGGAAATAAATATGAAAAATTAAAAAGGGTAAATTTAACTAGGAAGGAATAAAATATAAATTAAGGTTAAAAATGAAATAACTGTACAACACAAATTAGAATGAAGGGTAAATTTAACTGGGAAGAATAAGATAAAATATATAAATTAAAGTTGAAAATAAAATAACTGTACAACAAAATACACAATATAGAACTATATAAGAATGTATGAAGAAATCTAAATATAAATAAATATATACACAATAACAGCAGCTGTACAAGTATTAACCGGAAATGAAGAATATAGTGACCAGTGTTGTGCAAAAACAAAGTCCAGAAAGTCCAGTGTGTGTGTAAGAACCATATGTGTGGGTCAGTACTGTGTGGTGGTGTGATTGAGAGACCGTATCGCCTGCGGGAAGAAGCTCCTCCTCAGTCTCTCTGTGTTGGTCTTCAGGGAGCGGAATCGCTTTCCTGACCTCAACAGAGAGAACAGTCTGTTGTTGGGATGGCTGAGGTCCTTCACGATCTTCCTGGCCTTGGTCCAGCACCGCCTGCTGTAGATTGAGTGCAGGTCAGGGAGCTCGGAGCGGATGGTGCGCTCAGCTGACCGCACAACCCTCTGTAGAGCTCGTCTGTCCTGCATGGTGCTGTTCCCGAACCAGGTTAAGATGTTTCCCGCCAGGATGCTCTCTATGGTGCACGAGTAAAAGTTCCTGAGCACCTTGGAGGGCAGTTGGAAGTCTCTCAAGCGTCTGAGGTGGTAGAGACGCTGTCGGGCCTTTTTCACCACGGTGTTGATGTGACAGGACCATGACAGGTCCTGCGTGATGTGAACTCCGAGGTATTTGAAGCTGTCCACTCTCTCCACTGGGCACTGGGCATGGTGAAAACCTGAAATTAAGACAGAGAAGACTAGAGGTGAGACATGATCATTACTGATTACTGATGACAGATTTAGATATATTTTCATAAACCATTCATTTGCCACATCAATAAACAGCATGGCAGGGCAAAATATTTTTTCTAACATGGCAACCTTTAAAAAGTGAAAGGAGAAGAAAGACAGGTGAGAAAGAATAAAACTTAATTGACTTTTTGATGGCATTTTACACACAGTACTGGTACAGTATCTAGAAAATGTGGGAAAATACTGGCATCATATACAGTACTTAGCTACTTCTGAAGAAATTATGATGGGACCCTAAAAAAAATTACTATGTACAATAATGGATTTCTATACATTTTACATCAGATGAAAACGTTTGTTGTAAGATTCAGATAATTATTTGTTAAAAGCGAGACATTTTAAATGAGAATAAGAAAGAAAAGTATTTCTTTGTGCCCCTCCCTGTTAATGCCCTACCTGCCCCCCTGGCAAAACTTTGCTAGACCCGCCCCTGCACAGTTACCAGCTGTCAGCTACCAAAAAAGGATCCTGGTGTTATTTGTCTCTCAGAAACAGTTCATAACTTCCCTTCAACTCATTCATGTCACCTAAAAGGTAAACCTGTTTCTCCATCACCTGTTCAGCTCTGATGATTCAGTAAGGACATCTCCTGGTTTCATCTTCATGTTTCCCTCTCACCACATATCCACCAACATCATGACCAGCAGCTTTTACAGCTGTGGCTCCAGCAAACATCAGCTGATACTAGAAATTAATATTAAATAAATTCTAACAACAGCTGATCAAGCTTAAACGTGCTGCTGTTGTTTAGCGCGACATCCGCTGGTTTCCTCTTTCTGGCCAAAGTGGGCGATAAACAAACAAGAGAGAAAAGCCGATCAGCTGATCATTGATCAGTTTCAGGATTGAAGTAGAAAGAGGAGAGGGAGAGAGAATGAGAGAAGAAGAAGAAGCTGTGCAGCAAAGACACAGAATAACTCCAGCTTTGTGTCTTTTTCATTGTAGCTGAAGTACAGGACAAACTGGGTTCCTTTTTACCTCAAAACGAAACGTGTAATATTTTCTCTGAATACGAGAAGATTCTGTTTTTTACGGGACGGTTGGAAACTCTAATAACTAACCTTATAAATAAAATAAGATAAAACAAGTTCAACATCAGTAACATCAAAGCACCCGCCCAGCAGTATATAAACTCCGTCATGCTAGTTAGTACACAGTACAAGTTATTGTAACTGACTGTAAAAAGTCAGCATAACGAAAATAAACTCCACCTAAACTTGGTTTATATCTGACCCAGATAGACTGCAGGTCATTCTTACCTGAAGTTCAGTTCACCGTCTCAGGTCTCTGCTCCTTCTGCCTTTCTGTCATCCACCTGCCAGCGTGTTGCATCTGCTGGCCTCCACCACTTGCTAATGTTACTGAATCTGTGGAAGCTCCGCGATAGCCACCACCAAACAATTGAGTTATTTTTACACATCTCCCAACATCTGGCCAATCCACCACCTTTCAGTGTTTATACCGTTACGGAAAAAAAACAAAAAACCCATCGGCCCACCGGGCAAATGCCCGGTATGCCCGATGGCCAGTCCAGCTATGGCTGTGCATCAAATTGGCGACCTGTCTGGGACGGCCTACAACTCTGATAAGGATAAGCGGAAGAGAATGGATGGGTGGAAAGAAAAGAAAACTGTTGTTGGGCCAGTTTTGTCTCCTTTGTTGTTCTGTCCATGAGATTCAGAGATAGGAAATGTGCAGTGGAACAAATTCAAAGTGAACCTGAAGCTGCATGTATACTGTAAATTAAACTTGTGTCATTTTTATCAGATATGATTAAATTCCTGCTTTCATCAATGTAAGGTAAAGGTAATTCAACAATATTCATAAGCATGTGTGCCTACAGTGGCACACCATTATGTCGCACCTTTGAAATTGACTGGTTTTCTGCCTGAACTGGCTACATACTCTGAATACATTTACACCTGATCTTCAGTTTCCCCAGAAACCCGAAGAAGCTCAGGAAACTCAGATGTAAGATTTAGAAATATATACCATGTTCTCAGATTCTTTGAAACCTTTCTATTAAGTAGAGAGACCTCTTGTTAAGAACCCTATCACGAGTCACCCAAACTTTACTGAGCTGCCCCCTGATGCTCAGACACCCTGTTATCAACTCATCAAAGTTGTTTTTAACTTGATGATGACAGCAGAACACTCCACCCTGTAGTCATACAATAAAAATAAGATGTTTGAGAATGGAGTGGCACTGAAATTCACTGCTAACAGGAAGCCATGTGTACAAGGTAAACCGGCTTGATCTTTATCAGCTACAATTAAAAATCCTGCTTTCATGAGCAGCTAAAGATAATGAAATCATAAATGGCAGGTGGATTCCGTGTTGTTTCTTCTTCTTCTTTGTTTCTAACCTCTAAGTTCAGTATGTAGCTCACTGAATTGTAGTAACGTCGCTATTTTTTGGAAATAAAAACATATATTGTGCATATATGCTGTGCAAATCAGTGATCATTAATATGTGTTTAGAATTTACTTGATAGGTTAAAAATACCTGTAGGAGTATTAGTACTAGCAATACTGGCCCTGTAGTTACTTGGTATCGATCTACAGAAAAATCTGCACTACAAAAAAAAACAAACCTAAACTTGATGTCTGGTTTTTGTTTGAACCCATTACTACTACTTCTTCTTTTACTCTTCCACACAGTCAACTGTGTGTAAAAGTGTGTATAAATAAATGTAACAGGTTTGACACACTTGCACAATTATGGATACATGCAGTTAAGCCGGTTTACTTACATGTAGTGCATAACACCTAACAGCCCGCCCCTTCACCCTAAACTACAGGTTAATTATTAATTTTTTTTTATGCAAAGCCACGCCTTCTTCCAACAGCGCAAACTAATAAACCACTGTTTTCAATCGACCTGATGACAGTGCGCCTTTGCTTTCCTAAAAGTTACCATCTCCAAATTCCTGCTTTTGCTTTTGCTTGTGATCATTCCAGCATAAAACTTTTTTTTCTTCTTTTTACAGACACCCGAAAGAAACGATTTGCCTCACCATAATATTATTTATAATAATTTTGTTGACAAATTTAGACCCGCTGGAAGGTCTCCTTGAACCGCACCTGACTCATTAAGCAGCAGTGATGGAGGAGAAGGAGGCGGTGTGCCGGGGAGTGGAGCTGGCATATGGTGAGCTGAGCGGAGCGCCGCCGCCGCGAGACTGCACAGCTGCCTGTTGTCATGGAGGAGCAAAGATGGCGGTCCTGGCCTATAGCCTGGGCAAACGCGAAATAAATCAACATTTTACCATAAAAAACGCGAAACTGATATCGCTGGTTGCTGTTCTTTTACTCCTCGTGTTTCACGCTGCTTCGCGGTATTACGAAGGTGAGTGCTGCTTTTATTTGATCAACTTAATGTGGATGCGGCCACTGGAAACACTTGACATTGCTACTGGTAGCTAGGTAGCTGCTTGCATGCCAGCGCTTTTCTTAGCTACTGGGCTCCGTGCTTTTGTCACGGGATGCTTTCTAGATGTTAAAGTTATCGCCTGAAAACGTGCGTGCCGCAAATAGGTGGTTTCACGCACTAAGTCTCCAAAGGAAGCGTGAATTTGACCCGACGTTATCCAGCTGGTTAGCTGCTAACACTGCCAATAGCTGTGTTTACATGTTGCTGACGTTCCTGCTGCAAGAAACGCTTTATTGCTGCTGGAAAAGCCCTGGAAAGGTTCGTGGAAGTGTATTTGATCTGCACCTGGAGACCAATGTCATGTAAATACGCCCGACATGGTGTTTAGCTAGCTTCCTGAATAAATGCACTGTCGGTAAGACTGGCCACAAATGTGCCTGTCGCCCTGCTCACAACTTCAAAAACTCTAGATTTGCTGCTTTGTGATAACATTGTAGCTGCACGTTTCTTTGTTCCAGGGCTGTAACTTGCATATGCATAGTGCACTGGATGTATCAGTAAAGGGTTTGCTCATAAATTGGTTGACAAACAGTGACACGTCCTCAGAGCATAGAGTTGGACTATGAATAAATAAAGCAGGCATATTTACATGTACGTCGTACCTAGGCTGCTCAGTGTGGACGTCACCCACGAAAAGGTTAGGGAGCAGAGTGTGCTGTGAGCAGCTGCTTTGGCTGAGAATGATGTTGCATGCTGGTCTGCCCACCTTTCATGTTCGCCTGTTTCTGTGGATTGATTCAGCTCCAGATGGCTCCATTCATTTTGCGAACAAATGAATAGCTGGAGATTTATGCTCGAGCTAGATCGCTGATGGCTTCATTTTGCACTGTGGCCCCTGCCAGAGCCGTGTATTGTATGGTCCTTTTGACAGCACAGAATGAAAAGCCAGGGCACTATTGAGGCAGCAGGTTTCTGTCATAGTCGGAGCGAAACTGTGAGTGAAAGCGAGATCTTGTTTGTTTCGCCTCACCAGAAAGTTCTCTGTGTCTTGCCTCCAGGAGGGGACTCGTGTGAATGGCTGCTGTCCAGAGGACGTTACTTGGGGGAGGATGTATGGCAGCCTTATGGCTGCATGATGCACAAATACAAAAGCATGTGAGTCACACCACCTCTGAAGTTATTACACTGTATGTTTGGGATAAAGATTTAAATGTGTGGCAGTGATGTTGTGAGTTTTTGTCAGTCACTAAGGGTTTGTGGGTAATTTCAACTAAGGACTTTGGGATAAAAGATCACTCATTGACAAATAAAGGACAAAAACATTATTCACTTCAGTAAATAAATGTTTGTTTGTTTTTTTTATCTGTGCTTGGCCCTCACCAACCTTTTATGTTTTACAGTGAAGCCAAAACCTGCCTCTCTGAAAAGCGGGTAGCCTTTGTTGGCGATTCGCGAATCAGGCAGCTGTTTTACTCCTTCATCAAAATTATCAACCCTGAACGAAAAGAAGAGGGGATTAAGGTAATAATGAGAAACTGCACTGTTCAAGCCCAGGGTTTTTCTCACAATGGTGATGGTACAAGCCAAACAGATCTACAGATATGAGGCACAAAGATATGCTTTAACTCACTCTACCCATTGCTTCCAGGGAAGTTTATAAACTGACTAAAAATATTTCAACCTCAAAATGGAAGTCTCTCTTCCATCACAGATGGCTCTAAATTCTGACTGATCAAGGCTGCAACCTAAATCTAATTAGAAGAGCAGACTAAGATTCATGCGTACCTATCGTGGCTGCTTTGAAGGCTGTGTGTCTTCCGTCAGCTCTAATAAATAACCAGACCATCAGGACTTCAAAAAAATGCAGTTTGACTAGTCATTCATATTTATGTGGCTTAATTGTGGCTTTTAAAAGCAATAGTTACTTTGCTCCTCCGTACTTCTCTCAAGTCTGATAATTTAACTTCAGACTATCGATTTTATGTTAGAAAAAATCACCCTGCTGACTTGTCAAATAAATAGTCGTTTTTATGAAAAGATGGAAGTACTTTAAAGCTTGATATAGATGGCATTGTGGAAATGCGATGTTTAAAAAGGTTAAAGTCGAGCGGCTTGCACAGAAACTCAACAAGATAAATGAAGCTATGGGATAACCCTATAACTATACAGTACTAACTGTTTTGGTCTCAAGCTGGGACAAAGCATCACTGACTGTATGTCACACTTCCTCTCTGTCTGTCCACTTCCTAACATCTGAAGCATGAGGACATTTCCTTTGAAGACAAGAGCTACTCTATTAAAGTGGTGAGCTATTTATTTATATTTATATTCCTGGTTTTAACATGTTCTCGGTTTATGTTTTTTTTCTTCTAAACACTCTGGCACAAGATTTCTTTTCAAACTTCATCTTTGTCTTTAGGACTTTCTGTGGTACCCCGAGGCAAATAATTCAATGAAGGAACGCTTGATATCATGGACACGTGTGAGTAACGGTAACAAGTGGGGGAAATTGCGAATCAAGTGCCGCTCGTAAACTTAAGTGCGGCGTCTCTTTTGCTTTGCAGGAAGGTTCAGCAAAGCCAGATGTTCTCGTCCTCGGAGCTGCCACGGTAACCTGCGTAAATGCCTGCATGTTTTATATGAGACAAGTGTGACGTGGTGGCTGCCGATAGTTATGTCAGTCCTGACTGTTTATCCATTTACACAGTGGTCCATCAAGTTGCACGGTGGCAGCAGTGAGGCCCTCCAGCAGTACAAAGTCAACTTGACTGCAATCGTGGGGCAGCTGGAGAAGCTGGCTGAGCATGGGGAGGTCTACTGGGTGCTGCAAGGTGTGCTCAGCTTCAGCCACTCACACAATACAAGATCTTTTTATGATCATAGACAGGCTTCTAAAGTATGAGGCATGACTGGAAAATATTAAGACTCATTTGGTGTTAACATACAGAGGAATTAATAGTTTCCAATCCGCACACACGCCTAATAAATTTGCAGCTGTACTTCACATCCGTTTGTTAAACATTTTCCATTTTTAACTTTTTGATTGTTAGAATTTACTGCAAACAACAAACAGGCAAAATAAATAAATAAGGTGCCACACTGACATCTCTGAACCTCCTACTTAGCATTTCACACTCAATAGTCATTTCCCACGTTGCACAATGGTTGTTCACTTCATGTTTCCATGCATGGACCCTCTTGATTAAACTCCTTCTGCAGATCCAGTAAATGAAGAGGTGTTAAGTGAGAACAGGAAAATGATCACCAACCAGCAGCTGGAGCTGTACAATGAAGCAGCAGTGGATGTGCTCAACAGCAGCAAGCGTAATGGCAGATCTCGGGTCAGACTAGTGGCTGCTTCCCGTCAGGCTGCGCTGGAAACCATCATCAAGTCAGATGATGGTTTGCACCTGCCTGAGAGCACCAGGAGTGTGGTAAGTTAATTAATGAGTGCAGCTTTAGTGCGGTTATTTTATCGGTATCCTTGATTAGTACCCACTTCCCCTTCACCTCTCCTTTTAACCATCCTGGCAGGGAGCCATGATCCTCATGAACTCTGTGTGCAACAAAATACTGAGGCCCATCGACGGTTCATGCTGTCAGACGTTACGAGCCCCTAACTTGCTCCAGAAACTGTCGGCTCTTTTCTTCCTTGGCTCAGCCGTGGTCATCATGGTCTTCCACATCCTTGGCAACAATCGCCACCGCCGACACGTGCCCCCTGATGTGGAGAGCCTAGAGGAGAAGAAGCCAGCCACTGCAGCTGTTCCCCCCGGCCCAAAAGCACCTTTTCAGGCTCTCTGCAGGATGGGCGTCATCATGGGCTATTTTTACCTTTGTGACAGGGCAGATGTGTTCATGAAAGAGCAGAAGTTTTACACGCACTCCACGTTCTTCATCCCTCTCATCTACATATTTGTACTGGGAGTGTTTTACAGTGACAACAGCAAGGAGGTGAGACGGTGCTTCTCAGTAAAGTTTTGTTTTTGCGTCAAACAGCACAGTATAACAGTCTCTAAATAATCTCACTATTTTTTTTTTTATTTTTTTTTTTCTTTGCTTCCACGCAGGCAAAATTACTCAACCGAGAACAAACAGACGAGTGGAAAGGCTGGATGCAGCTCGTCATCCTCATCTATCACATATCTGGAGCGAGCGCTGTGAGTCCCAATTATGTCTACAAAAATCAGTTTGTGAGTCTCCTGCTGTGTATGTTGATGTCTGAAGAGCCTGATGGTTATTTTTCTGTCTTTCAGTTCATCCCAGTGTACATGCATGTGCGGGTGTTGGTGGCAGCGTACCTATTTCAAACTGGCTATGGACACTTTTCGTTTTTTTGGCTCAAAGGAGACTTTGGACTTTACAGAGTGTGCCAGGTTAGGGGTGCTTTCAGTTATACTTTAACTTTATATTCTTATTGACATTTGTTTCTCAGTCATAGCAGACAATCATGCACATGAGGTGTAATAGAGAAGTTCTGTCCATAAAAAGAAAAACAATTGGACGATTTTCCAGTGCGCTGCTATTTTTTGGGGGGATCACCTCCGCTCTGATTACATGCATGTGACAAATTTGATGTCTCAGACTTGCACAAACTTACATCAGCTCTCAAACTTTCAAGTAGAGGATCATTATTGGTACTTTGGTCACCCAAAGACCAAACGGCAGTGAAAGAAACCTCAATGTTCAAGACCAAAGGCGGTGCATAAGGACAACAACACGCACCATGACCTTTTCCTCTAGATTCAGACTGTGGTATCCTGCAGGAGAACATTCATCACTCATAATCTGCCTGACACGCCACGCATTGAACACTCACCTACACAAAAACAGTCCTTGTCCTCCACTCCACACTGGCTCCCTGTGACTTTAGATCTCGTCACCAAAATAAAACTTAAGTTGAAGTGTTGGCGTTTCCGCTCTGTGAACAAAATCCAGTGGTCAAAACTAGGGATTCAGTGACTGAGTGATTTTTAAAAATGGCAGCTGTGACAATAACATTATAATTGTTATTACAGAATAATTTGGGTTCAGATAAATAGTGTGATTTTTGGGTATCTGCTTAGGTGTTTGTGTCATATTCATTCACAGGTGCTTTTCCGTCTGAACTTCCTGGTGTTGGTGCTGTGTGTGGTAATGGACCGACCGTACCAGTTCTATTACTTTGTTCCCTTGGTCACATTCTGGTTTGTTGTCATCTACACCACAATGGCTATGTGGCCTCAGATCCTTCAGAAGACGGCTAACAGTAGGTGTCAAATTACTGACCTTTATATACTCCGCTCAGTCGTGTCCTGCACTGTGTGAATAAACACAGTTGATTAATTCATGTCATAAGAGCAAGCAGCAGGGTTGCATTTCATATGTCTTCCTTGTTGGACAGGTAGTGGCGTGTGGCATTTTGGGGTCTTGGCAAAGTTACTGGGCCTCCTGATGTTCATCTGCTTTTTTGCCTTTTCACAGGTGGGTCAGCTGAAAGCGTTCTTAAGTGTAACTCTACTTTCTTTTAATTGCATATTTAAGTTTAAGAGATGTAAATGGTCACATGTCCTAAGTTGTTCACGCAGCACCATATTGACCACTAAGCTGTGCTATGATTTATTTTATTTTTTAAATCAGATGTTTACTCCATTTTTAAAATGCTACTTGTTTTATGTAATTTCTGTGTTTTGCATTATGACTCCAGGGCGTTTTTGAGCGCGTCTTCTCTGTGTGGCCCATCTCTAAGCTCTTCGAGCTGAATGGCAGCATCCACGAGTGGTGGTTCAGATGGAAGCTGGACCGATTTGTAAGTCAAATGTGTTTCCTCAAGGTGCAGCCAGGCTTTTGTCCACTCGTGTTTCACATGACAACACCCCCCCCCCCCCTTTTATTTTTTATTTTTTATTTTTTTAATATAATATTTGTTACCGAAGTGATAACAAATTTTCTGGCCTTTGCTGTAATCTTTTAATGTGTTGGCACTCCTGCAGGCGGTGATACATGGCATGTTATTTGCCTTCATCTATCTGGTGCTGCAGAAGCGTCAGGTACTGTCAGAGGGAAAAGGAGAGACTCTCTTCTCTGCCAAGATTTCCAACTTTCTCCTCTTCCTCTCTGTTGTCTCCTTCATAGTAAGTCTGCATTTCACATATTTTGGGTCTTACCAAAATACCCGTGCTGAGCATTAGTTCTTAATTTAGATCAGTTATCATCTGTTACATAATTCTTCTAATCTAATGCTAAATATTTATTTTTTTAAATTTAGACTTCTTTGTATATTTAAGTAATAAACACAATGTGCAAAAGGGAATGCTTAAAAAGGAGCCATGTTTACTTATGTGACAAAGCCTTGGAAAGTTCTTGTTGTACTAACTGGAGATTACAGTATCAGCTTAACTTACTGGCTGTTTGGAAAAACGTGGCACTTAAAATCTTCTCCACGTCATTCTAGACTTACTCAATATGGGCAAGCAGCTGCAAAACCAAAACCGAGTGCAACGAGATGCATCCCTATATCTCTGTGGTCCAGGTACAGTTTTTATCTGTCCTTATCTTTGTTTCTTTGGCTTTTCACACATGAAGTGTTGGTGCGATCAAGTCTGAAAGTTTCTCTGAGTCCGATTAGTTGTTACTGCTGGAAATCCTGCATTTGATTTTGGGTTAAGAGGTGGCACCTGGAGGCAGGACGGATGACGCTGAGGCCTTAAATGCCTCATTCTCACATTAGCTCAGATGAACAATATACAGAGTTTGTGCTAAAAAGCTGGAAGGTTAAAGACTGTTTAATGTCTGAACTGTTTGGGACATCTGCGCTTTCGCCCACTGTTCTGTGTCGATTGGCTAATTCACATGTTTGGAAACAACCCTGACATCAGAGGCCTGCACTGTGATGTTTCATGCATGTAACTTCAGGGTATATTGCCTCGGGAACCTGCACCGCAAACAAGATTAGAGATCATCAGGTGTGAAATCGCTGTCTGCTGACCAATCAGTTCTCTGGAAAATAGCATCACCATTCCTGTGCGCCATCAGTAGAAAGGTCTAAAGTTTTCTAATAGTGTCTAATGTCTTTGCCTTTCTCTGATCAGTAAGAAATATAAATTATTAGAGGCAACTTTATTATTTTTTTTTTCTGTTGTCTAATTTTAAATCCATTCTTTTACTTTTATTCTTTACTTGCTCTCAAACATCACTGATGTTGCAGCTGAGAGAATAAAAGCTAAAGGTGTCTTTTTAAAGATTCAATCCTGGATTAACTGACGATCTAGCTTTGTGTCTGACTGCTTATCATGCCTCCCAGTGTAAGGCAAAGTGAATCCAGATAACCTGGATATGATGAGCTTTCTTCGTAGTTTTGGCCCATGTCATCTGAGTCATGAAGTTAAATTTACTACTTAACATGATTTCATGACAGTCTGATATGATTGTGAGACCAAGCCTAATAGCTCACCATGTTATCTGCAGTCAATTCACACTGGAAAAGATATGTTTTCTACATATATTGCCACCATTACTATATTTAACCATTCGTCTCTTTACACCACTTTAGTGTTTACAGTTCTTCAACAAGCTTGACCTGCTACTTTTTTTAGTGATAAGCATGATTTACCTGTTGTAACGTCACACTTGGATTCCTAAAAATGTCTGTGATCTGTTTTGTGGGCAGATTTTGGCCTTCATTCTCATCAGGAACATTCCTGGCTATGCCCGTTCTATATATAGCTCATTCTTTGCATGGTTTGGAAAGATCTCCTTAGAGGTAAGGTTCTCCTTGCTTTAGAGTCACAGTTAGCAATATAACCCTTAAATAAATCTCCAATCACAAAAGACTAGAGTCTTATGAGAGGTGTTTTTTAAAACCATGCTTTTTGTGTCCCACAGCTTTTCATTTGCCAGTACCACATATGGCTTGCAGCTGACACCAAGGGGATTTTGGTCCTCATCCCAGGAAACCCCTCCCTCAACATTTTGGTTAGCACCTTCATCTTTGTTTGTGTGGCTCATGAGATTTCCCTCATCACCAATGACCTGGCCCAGGTGGTCATCCCCAAAGACAGCATGGCTCTGCTGAAGAGACTGGGGGCCATGGGGATTCTCAGTCTCGTTATACTGCTGGTGTCCAGGGCTGGCCAGCCCACACCTGGCGCCTGATGGACATCTCCTGAGGGGATCTGGGGGAGGGGCGGGAGACCCACTAAGACCCTGCTGAGATTGAAGTGAGGTACAGATGGAAGTCAGGAGGCAGCCTTGTGTTTTAGCTACTGGTGAGAAGATGTTGGCAGCGGTGACCCTTGGGAGAACAAAGTCTGTCCGCTGGCCACATTTGAGCAGAGTCCGTACTTTTCTGACTGCTGTGAAAGTCACACACTGAAGAAAAGACAAATGCCCAACAGAGAAGGAGTCACTCCTTTAACAGCAAAGTCAAAATTGTGGGAAAGGAGATTTAAAAAAAAAAAAAAAAAACACACAAAAAAAACCAATGAAATGTTTACAATATCTGGTTTCAGGATTTTGGAAATGCAGAATCTAAAAAAACAAAGCACGACGTCCTCATTTTAAGACTCATGCCTGCTGCATTTGGCAGCGTCGCGTCTGTTTAGCCAAACGCTGATAATACGTTTTTGTTACATGCAGAACTTCCTGTAAATCGCTTTGGGAGGGATCACCTGGCACACACTCCGTCCATGTTGTGCAGTAGCAGCTGAAGGAGGGATTTCACTCAGGTGGATCCATAACCTGCATATTCAGATATCTACTCTTTTACAACAAATGCGTTAAATTGTGCTGCATTTTTATCGTCAACATTCGTTGTACAGTATTCCTGGTGACTTCAAACTGCGTCAGATATCTAAATATGAGATATATGGACCAACGACTGGCTCGGATGATCAAAGAGTGACTAGAGTCAGAAAACTTGGAGTGCAATGGTTAATATGTTGGAATATCCTTCGACGTGTTTTTGCGGTGTTTTATTTTTTATTTTTTTTTGTGCGTGATTTTGCTGAAAGGCTGTGGTCACCTGCTGTAGCGCTGAAATTCTATGTGACATGTACAGTATTTAATGATTTAAATTAAGTTTATATTTTATACGGTTTTGAGGGAGGGTGGGGCAGGTGGGGGCTGGCTTTGTTTTATTTTATACTCTGCGACTGCTGTTTGTGACGGAAGTGTTCTATAGACAATTTTGTACCCATCCCAGACCCTCACAGACAATTACCTGATGGTGAGGTTGATCCTTTTAGCCGTCTTGTCTCATCTGTAGCTTACTTCCTAGTCGGTGTATATTTGTACAGTAGTGACAGATTTATTTTATACAGCGTTGCTTCCGCAGTAATTTTGGTCTGTTATTGTTTTGTTTTTTTTTGTTTTTTTTTTTATGTCCATTGAAACATGCCTCGTACCTCTGGCAGAAAGTGTACCAAGTTTCACATGCTGTTCTAAGCAAACTGCTGGGTGACAAATTAAAGGAAAACCTTTGACCTGTGCAGAAAGGGTCTGTGGTGGCTCTGAAAGGCTGCAGGGGGCGCTGTAAATCAACTTGTTTTGAATGACTGCCTTTTAAACCAATGATAAAATTTGTCCCTATGGGAGTGGTTTCTCCCACAAGCAATATGACCCCCCCCCCCCCTTATAGTCACCTGAGCTCAACCTAACTTGCATAGCCTGAGAGATTTTTATTTCTTCCTTTCCTACTGATCTTGGAATTTGCTCCACATCCTTCAAAGTACAAGATGATAGAAATTATGTTTACCCAACGCCTCACTAAGACACTTTATTATTTTTTTTTATTTCCATTAAATTGTTACCAATCTGTTTTCCTTGAGCTGCCACAGCCACTGAACTTTGTAGTCAGTGAATGAGTGGCTGAAGTGATGTCTTAGTGATGCCTTTTAAACAGACTGTGTGGTGTTTTGTTTTGGGGGTTTTCCCAGTGGCTTATACCTACAGTGCATCTTCAGATGAAGACTTACATCTGTGATGCAGCTGTGATCATAAACTTCCATGTTTTAGGCACTTTGTATGGGGGGCCACAACCACATCATTTAGAAACCACTAGGTAATGCACTGAGTGAGCTGACATTACTGTTAAGGAAAAATGTCGTACATTTCATCAGGCGGTGTCTGTCCCCTTTTGTCCTGGCAAACATGTGAGGGGGAGATGATTTTTATTTTAAGATCTGCTCCCCCCCCCCCCTTTTTTTAAAATTTACTTGTTGAGGTAATAATATTCAGCGTTTAACGTTGAGTTTAGCACAGTACCAGTGCACTTACTCAATGCACTTTTCTTCTTTTCTTTTTTTTTTGCTCAATCAAATGTTGTTTGCAGATTTATGACAATATAACGTAAGATGTATTGCAAATAATTTTTTTATTTCAGCTGCCATCAGGTAGAAAACATTAAGTCATCCTCTATTCATTTATGTAATGTGGGTTCACAGCGGAACAATTTGCGCAAAATGCGCAGCTTTCATCTTTCTTTCTGGTTGTTTGGGTTCTGTTCTCAAACTGGGAGCCAAGTAAATGTTTAATTTTTAACCACTCAGCACCTCACTGTACAGATGAGAATGGCATATAGATGTTTCCATTCTCTTTGGTGTGTTAAGTTTACTGATCTGTATGATGGTTTGGGGGTTTTTCTCATCTATTAGTGAACAACCGCGATACAGTAAATTTGGTTAATGTATCGGGCCTTAATTGATCTCTTTGGTTATGTAAAAGCAACAACTATTTATACCCCGTGTAGGGCCTCTTTTGAAATATATTACATGTATTTAAAAAAAATTGTGATGTCTTAAAAAAATGTGAAATGTATCCATATTATTTATAAATGCCTTTATTCTGTTGTACATTAAGAATATCTTCATAAAAATGTGCTGTTTTGGCTTCTTTTAGTGGATGGAGTGGGAAGGGGGTGTTTTTTCTTGTTTTCCACTGGGACAGAAAGTTATTTTGAAAGAGTTTATTATCATGTGACACATTGAACAAATGTTCTAACACATGGCGACGAAAGCATTTCAATATAAAACACCCTTACGCCCCGAGAGGTCCGCTGGGCAAAGCAGTATGACATACAAACATATTAATCACACTTTAAACATTTAAACGGATATTCCAAAATAGTCTAAGTTATCTTTATAATCGGCTAAGCTCTTCGGGTCTTTTTCACACTCACAAGTCAAGGTGCAAGTGCGCAAGTGGACGATAAAATTTTCACTGCTAACACATGCAGGTTGGCACAAATTTTAGGACAAAGGAAGAGGGGCAGCTGCAACACTGGTGCTTCTGGTCATAAATTCAGAGCTTCAGCCACCTTTCTCTCCTCAGGAATACCATTTACCTGGAACACAGTGAAAGCAACAGCTGAACCACAGAGACATGACAAAACTTCCAGAAATCTAACACTAAATACAGATGTAAGCAGCAATGCTTGGGATCCAAGCAGACTGCACACACTTTGTTAGTGCTTATTGTTCGCTGGTAACTGATGCATGCTATCGACAACTAGGACTGACAGTTTGTACCCTGCCTGGTCCCTTCCTACAGTAGCTGACTTGCAAGCATAATAATTTTATGCTCTGTCTAATTTAAAGGCCTGCAAAAGCATCACGCTCCGTTAGTTGCAGGTGTTAAATAGCTTATTAAAGCATGATCTGACATTTAGCAAAATAAAAATGCCTAACTACAATGAGACACTGCACATCACGGTAGACTGATCATGTTTTGAAGTTTATAACCTCAACTTGAGATTAACAAAGTCCACAGATGATGCTCACTTAATTTTTGGACAATTGGTCCAGAATTTCAGAGGAGAAATTAGAATTTTACTTCAGACCACTCTCTCAAGAGTAATGTCTTCTGGATTTTGCAACACAACCATTTTTAGCATGGTGAAATAAATATGGAGAAGATGAAAAATCTGAACATTTACAGTTTTTCCTGCAGCTTCTCTGCTTGGATCCCAAATTATCTCAGCTTTAAATCATGAACAGCCGGCAGCACCTACCTCCAGCCTTCGAAATGTTGACATGACATAGTTATCTCCTTTGTTAGCAGTGAACAGAGAGAGGATTCGGTTAGTGCATCATGCAGCTGATACCCGTGCTCAAAGGAGGGCGCTCACACGCCAGCGTCACCATTAGTCGGCTCATGCAGCAGATGATAACAGTGCAGTGATGCAGAAGGAACAGACTGAAGTTATAAGAAACTATGAAGCCAAGTGGTTTTATATGGATTCACATTATTGATGCCAGTATAGTCCAAGAACTGAATTTAGTGAGAAGTAATATAAAGGCAAGTGAATTCTAAGTCATTTTTACTGTGAAGGTGCTTAAACCTTCAGAGGCATGCTTTACTGCACTTGAAGTCCTGATGAACATTCGGCAAGAGAGAGTGTGTTACCAATAGCAGACATCCAGGTATGCTGACTCTACGCTATGAGCTGCTGTTAAACATCTGTCATTTCAAAGAATTCCTGGAAATATACTCCTGACATATGTTCCTGAAAGTTCTAACCATTCAGCTGCTTCATATTACAAGACGGCTGTCTTAAGATTCTCACCTGATGGCCGCTGCTGTGGTATCGTAATCTGGTTTTGCAGATTCCTGAAATCATAAATAACAATATTATGTCAAAGCATGTTATAAAAATGTTTGGGGTTTTTTTTTTTGTTAGTTTCAAGCCCATTAAGAGAAATCATGGGACAGCTTGAAGCTCTTAAGCTCTAGTTGTACTTTCCAAAGGCCTGACTTGCTTTCTGTAGCTATAGTTGTAAACACCACATAGTTGGAAAGTGCTTGAAACAACATGGCATTGTTCCAACTTTTCCATTTAACACCTATAAGCCTCATATCTGCATCTGCTAATGAGTGTGGGCGTATGTGTGGCTGTACTTAGTCATCCATCCGTCTTATGTTTCCCACCAAATCCCTGAACTCACGCCTGTGTCTGCATCAGCGGCATGCTGGTGGTCTCGTAGTTGTCGGGGTGGATGGGTGGAACCACCTCGCCGCTGACTGGGTTGAAGACGGGCAGCGTAGAGAGCGGCCAGGAGATTTCCCTGTTCTTTGACATGCTCCTCAGTTCCTTGGTGGACTTCTGGATGGAGCTGTGGTGAACCAGCTGGATGCTGGAGGAGGGGAGAAGCAGTGAATTCATATTGCAGCACGTTTCTGTGTCATGGGTAGGGGGTTGTCTCATCAAAGCTTAAATGATGTGCACTCAAGTTTGTGCATGCACAAACAGAACTATAACATCCAACCTCACCTACTGCTGTTCTTTTTTTCTTTTTTGGGGGTTTGTTTTCCATTTGTTTGAATTAAATTTTAGGTGTAATGCTGAGTACATAGTTCTGATAATCCTACAGCTGGTCATTACATTTTTTTCAGCAGCCCACTGAATGAATGGATGCCAATGCCAATGCACGTATGAGCGTATGAATGGACATGAAACAGCCATGAATGACAACATAAATGACCAAAACTGCCAACCAAAAACAGAGGGAGAGGGAACAGAAATAAAATTTAAAAGAAGAACACAGGAGAGGTAAAACACTTACTCTGGTGTTTGCATGTTTCTTTTTTCCCTAGAAACAAAACAAAATGGATGAATTAAATACTAATATTAATAGGTAAAGCAACATCTGCACACAAGTGAATGAATGGATTGTTGGATAAAGACAAGGTGGACATGATGTGGAACACTGAGTGAAAAAATAAAAAGGGGAGGGGAGGCACACGTCTATCCCAGCCTGTAAACGATGGATGAAGATGACTGATCATCCATGTTGTGGCTATGCTTCAAAACATCAAGATGCAGATGACAAGAGTCACAGAGACCCGAGACAAACAGTGATGAGGAACTTAACTACTGCATGGTAATGACAAGCTGCAGTTAAAGTCCAGATTTCCACTCTTTTTCAGTTATCCTACAGCTAACTGAGCTTTTCAGGCTTATTTTTGCTGTCTCTCATATGGTTCTCATACACTTTTGGCTGCTTATTGGGGTATTTGGTGCAAAATTTGCATAGAAATGTTAAGACCGAGCACACTTACACCCCTTCCCGCCTGCAGCACATAGTGTAGCCAAGGATGAAGAAGAGAACTAGCGCCACGGCGGAGGGAACAGCCAACGTGATGAGGAAGTCGGAAAAGTAGTCCCGGCTTTTCAGAGACTCAGACGGGGGTTTGTACTCCCCGAATTCGGGCAGGATCCCTGTTCCGGGTTCGGGACGTGTAACGTAAACTGGGACTACTTTGTTGATGTCAACCTTAAAAGAAAAAAAAAAACAAAGACATAAAGATCAATTAGAGGTTGCATACTTTTAGTGCATTTTAATGCATTTTTAGTGAATTTGTTGGAACGCATCCTCACCAGAGAAATCTTACACCAGTCGATTTGAAACTGAGCTCGGAACTTCTTGTCACAGCTGATGACGGGCTCCATCTCCTGACTGCAGCGCAGCTGGTTATGTGGGCTTTCCACCTCCCGCAGGCACGACGAGAAGGGAACATCAGCACCGACCATCACATAGACGCTAGAGGAGAGAAGAGAAGAAGAAGATGGAGTCTAATTTTACAAGTTTATGCTGAGGTTTGTAATAATCAAGTGTTCTCTCCTGCTGAGTGCTCTGCTAGATGCTTTCAAGTTCCAGCGTAAATCTTTGATGAACAACTTATGGCAGCTCATGTTGGCTATTCCCATCTGAGTTAAAGGAACTGACAGCATATCGGTGTAGACGGCTACGTGCTTTCATCTAATTTACAGAAAACTGAGGATCCCCAAAGCCCCAATTAAATTAATGTTAACATAATGTGAGTGGGCTGAAAATACTGTTGATTTGTTTGATTTAGAGAGGTGAAGAGGTCACTCATGGAGAGATTTGGCACAGACGAGCTGAACCGAGTAGAGCTAAATCTTATCCTTGAATCCTTGTAAAGGAAAATATGTAAGTAGGGGATTACTTAAAAAAAAAAAAAATCACAAATGTTTTCTGTTTCTGCTCAGATGAGACCCACGTCCAGATCCTCACCCTTCTTTTAAGTTGTTAATAGGTAGCGGCACCCGGCCACCGCGGTCCAGTGCCGATGTAATGTTGATGGCATTCAGCCGCTCGGGCTGCCAAACGTTCTTCACCGCTCCCAGGAAGTCTCCCAGCACCTCACTGGCCAGCACCTCCTCCACATTCATATTTTTGATGTAGAACTCTGCTTGGTAAGGCAGGGGGAACTCTGTGCATAGAGACAAAGACACAGTCAGAGAGAAAGACTTAAAGAGGTTAAAGGCAGCAGGCTGAGGTAACAGTAGCTGACACTGATTTTTACCAGTCTGTCCACCGGACACTGCTTTGCCTGCGCTGCCTTGTTATGACTCTGCTTCCTTCGGGGGCCAGATGGCAGATGACATCACAGCACAGGCAGAGTGATGTTACATTAGCAGTTTGAACAGCTGCTGAGCGTTCCCCCTGACTCAGTTCATACTGTACTGCCTGTACTGTGATGGGTCAATATGGCAGTGAGCAAATCTACAGAAGCGCAGGTGCAGAGATGCTCTCAACAGCAATACAATGAAAACTCAAACTGAGGTAGGATTGTGTGGGGTTTTCACCATGACTGACTGAAGTGGACACTTCACTAGAACTATACAGTCCTTCAAGTATCCTTTCAAGACATTATGATCTTATTAGGGCTGCCACAAACGATTATTTTGATAGTCAACTAGTCACCGATTATTTTTGCGATTAATCGACTAATCAGATCATGCATCCATTGGACGTACAGCTTATTGCACCAGCATGCATCTGCTCTTATATAACCATCATTAGCTTACAACTTGAAGTGTTTAAGGTATGTGCTAACTAAAATTAAAGACAAGATGATAGTTTATTAAATTTTAATGAAATTTGCAGATTGTTTCGGTGAAGTTTAATAAAGGACACCGGAGTATATTCTCGAGCATCTCACACTTCTGATAATCAGCTGTCTGCTTGACGTTTATTCAGCTGTGTAAAAACTATAACTTTAATCTCAGCCAAACCGATTTACTCAGGAACAAATAAAATACTAAAAAAAAGCCAAACAATAACATTTGTAAGTTATCTAAGTGACTTATATATGTTTAACCTGAGTAGCGAAAGACGGCGGTGGGTTTGAAAACGATTTGCCGGGAGTCCGGTGTTCTCACGGGCTCTAGTGAGCCTTGCCCCCGGCTAGCTATCGAGCTAGTGGGTAACAGACGTCTCCGAAAACGTCGGAGCGCTTTTGAAAATATGTGGTGTCTTGATAAACTGAGCAGATATTTGAGGTTTACACAGCTACATTCTCGCCTGAAAATATGTTAAACGTTTATTTTGTGACCCAGAAAGAATAATAAGAGTAATATTAAAACTAACTAGCTGCCACCATTGTTGGAAACTGAGCTGGGCTGCGCTATGAATTCTGGGACACAGCTTCTTCTTCTTCGGGCTTTAGCGGCACCTGGCATCCTAGTACATGCAGTGCTGCCATCTTCTGTTTCAGTCCGTTATTACACTCTTAAACCCTACTACTTATTCCTGCGTCTTTTGGGATCTTACAAAGCTTCAAACGACGCGTCGACTACTAAAACAGTCGTTGACGATTTTGATAGTCGACGTAATTGTGACTGGTCGACTAATCGTGGCAGCCCTAGATCGTATCACATAACCTTCATCCGCAGATTTTGACAAGTTGACATGAAATTGACTTATCTTATTAAAGCTTCAGAACAGCTACTCAGTGCAGTGATGTTACTTTATCGTCTGCTGTATTTACATTCCAAGACCAACGATGAACTTTTGGTTATGCTTGATAAAAGTAATCAAAGACAACATTTTCTCTTAAGGGAAGCTCATTACACAGTCCAAGTACTGAGTGTGCTTCCAGGATTTAATCAGCGAAGCTGCGCAATCTGATCTCAGTTTGCTCTAAGCTCTTATGTACAAGTTCTTCTTACCTTCTGCAGCCTTGATGTTTATGACCAAGTTGTGCCGCGCTGTCTCAAAAGTGCGCCTGTTATAGGCAGTAATCTGTAGGACACAGAGGTGAAAGTTTAAGCCCAGATCAGTCCAGCTTATAAGGCAGCAGTTCTCCAGACAAGGCTGAGCTCGATACACGACCCGGGTTCTGTACCCAGCTGAGGCGCCGTTGAACACTTTAAGCCTTTTGGGAAAAGAATTTGTACAGTAGCTTATGGGAAAGCATAACAAGTATAAAGGAATTTAAGTCTAGCTTCTGTAAGAGTAACATAGTACTACGTCGCTTCCAAACACATATGCAAATCAGCTGGGCTCAGTGAAATAAATTCCAACTCATCCTTGGACTACAACTTGACAGATTTCATTGAATGTTTTAAATTTACTCAAGACTTTTGGCACAAAAACAAGCAGTCACTTTCCATAGTTGAAATAAGCAGCAGCACAAATTACTTAATCTCCACTCTTTTCACTTTGAAAGCAGTCCAACCACCCACCTCTATGACAGTGGGCTTGCCAATGTGCTCTGCAGTGGGAGAACCATAGAGCACTCCATCACTATGTGGGGTCCTTTGAATATATCGTAGCCAACCCGGCCTGTCGGGGTAGCCCTTCAGGTTGGTGTTGAAAGTGATCGGATCGTTGCTGGGGTCACCTGCAGACAGAGCAGAGGAACGGTAAGGGGGCCAATAACGTGCGTTATGAAATAAGCAGCGCTCTATGGAGTTTATATGCAATCACCACCTCTACAAATGTTTCAGATGTATTTAGATATTCAGATATATTGATGATATACTATACAAACATGATAATAACATGTTTTTGATCACAGTGTGAATGTGACAGCGTTATACCTGATTTTGGGTAAGGAGGAAACTCTCCTTTGAAATACTCCCTCTCCAGAACGTGGACGAACAACACGCCTGCAGACGGGTAGACATTACGGTCTGCGTGCGACCTCGACAGGATGGTGACCACTGAAACACACATTTTAAAGACAACAGAAGTAAGCAGAACATTTCCTGTATGCGTACTATTCATCAATAAAGTGGACCTTGGTGCTTTTTCATATTTTGGTACACACAATAAACACTATGTCCAAATGTTTTTGTGTAGACTGTCATATCTATTTTATTTATAGCCTTAACCAATTTAAAGTCCACTTTAATGTCCTGCCAGCAACAGCAAATGGAAAAAAAGAGCAAATGTTAAACTAGTTTAAACGTGAAATCAATAAGTGTTTGCGGTGGTCTATTCTATCTGTTTCTCTTGCCTGGCATCTGCATTCTTGTAAAGGTAGAAGCATTCACTTCCCACAAACGTCAACAAGTGTGAAGAGAAAAACTCAGATTATTGCTCAGACAGACTACAGCTCTGTAAATAAGAGGCGCTTGACAAAACCAGTTAAAGAAAGGGAAAGCGTCTGAGGTACTGTGAGTGAAAGCAGCAGTAATGAGAGTCACTCATATTGTACAGAGTTCTTTTAACGCCCTCCCCCCCACTTGATCTCCATTGTGCTGTCTTTTTAGCCCCCGCTCCGTTTCAAACACAAACATTTAGTCTTTATTTGTGAAGGGCATCACTAGGGAAATGGTAGCCCCTTAACAAAAATTTACACAATGTAAGACCGGGGGTGATTTACCCATTTCTCTCCCTCTCTCTCTCCCTCCTTTTGTGTCTTTCTCTTTCATTACTTCCTCCTCTCTTGCTTCATCTTTTTTTGCTTGTGTACAGCACGGCTTTTTTTTAGCACAGAGTTTTCTTTTTTTCCCTCTCTCGCTCTCTCTTTCCGTTCTCGATTTTTGCCTTCTCTGTGCCACAGTGGGTGGGAACTCAATTTTTAATCACCATGGGAGACTGAGGCCGAGTGTATGAGGAAGAAGAAGAGGGGGAGGAGGGCTTGCAAAGACGAAGGAAGGGAGACTGGACTGGAGATCTGTGCTATGAAGTGCCAGAGAGGGAGAGAGAGAGGGGGTTTGAACTGTTCTTGCCCGTGGACATACAACTCCAGACACATTAAGCAACTAGGTAAAAGCCTGGGTAAAGTCTCTATGTACATATGTGCCTTCCCACGGGCAAAGAGTGGCTGGTTTTCCCAAGTTTTACAACCCTTTCTAATCTGCTAATCAACCCAGCATTTTCTATCATTAGCATCATAATATTAAGTACTCTTCTCCTTCTACACTGAACACAGGCTGACTTTCAAGGAGAATGCACTGAAGAGAGTAATATCAGGATTTACATTTTAATTCATGTCAATGAGAAGGGGAAGTGAGCATTAGATGCAGTTAATTAATAAACCCTCAGCATCTACAAGTACACCAGTGAGACACTGCAACTCTAAAGACATAAAACAGTCCCACATGTATGTTAAACCCTCCTACAGCTGTGGTCAGTGACAGAGATGCTGAACTGACCATGTGTCTACAGCCCCCAAGGGCTCAGTCACGGCAAGATACAATCAATAGCATTTAGCGGCTGCTAAATGTGGTGTTAGATGAACAACCTGAGGTCGTATCCACCACATCTCTTTTCAAGAAAACCACCTGGGCATGACTAATCTGTGCGATGGCTTTTCTCACCGCAACCGCTGCACCCATCGCATTAGGATCTGGGTTAGTCTGAGACCAAAAATAAACCATCATTCAGTCTCAGCAGACCGCTTACTCGCTGATGACTTCGGTCGATCCTCAAAGCTGAATGCACGCCCTCGGATTCTATTATGTGACACATTGGGCCTCATTAATTCTCCGCCACACAAAGGACCACTTTCAGACCATGCCGGTCAAGGTCAAATCCTGGCTACGCTGCTTTAGTCCGAGCCCAAAACTGGATGTGCTGTGAACATTTGCAAGAGATTCGGAGATGGGAGATGTAGGACATTCGAACAGCCTCAAGAAAAAACGAAGTGTTTTAACCTACTGATATTAAACCTTTTCATCCAACAACAAAGATTTAGGGATGAAGACAATTTTATTTTTTAGTCAGTGAAGCTTAAGTATGTTTCAATGCAGCAGCTTCCACTTATGGCTCAGCCAGTGTAAGTAGAGATCACTAACTAAGCTACACCGAGGATTTGCTAATAGCATCAGATCTGCTTATTTGCAGCAGGATGACTTTCTGCCAGGCCTTCTCGAGTTGATGACCAGCAGCACTTCCACCGTACACCAATACATTACCAATTTAAGGTTAATGGTAAACTGTCCACTGCATAATAACCCTTCAGTTTCAGTTGGAGGACAAAGGTAGTGAGGCAAGATGTGCATGACAACACAGATAAGAAGCTAGATTTTCCCAACTACCGTCTATATTCTCTATGAAATGCTTAAAATCATTCAAACACTGCTTTTTAACTTTTTAACCCACATGCCATCATACCATAGTAGATGCTTGACAGGCCTTACGGGTGGTGGAAATAACTAACCAACTTTATGATTTTCTGGGCTGACCTTAGACTGGGATAATGTCATGACTGACATTGGATTAGTTAAAAATGCCATTGGCAACGTGAAGAAAAGTAAACCTCCCTCCTTCAATTGGCTCCAGCTAACTGAGGCCTCAAACTAGATGAGAGACAACAGAAGGATGTCCTTTACTTCTGTTGAGTCAGCTTCATGTGCACATGTAGTCTGGGTCATGAGGAATGCATGTGCTCCTTTGGTGTTTAGCGGGGAAGCCCAGAAAACAAGGATCGCTACTGTTGTAGTATTCTGCCAACAGAGTCTGAGAATCGACCTGTTCTCAGACATGGAAGTGAAAGTCGCTGCTGGTGTCACAACAAGCAGAAGTCAACGGATAAAGACAAGGGCGGGCAAGAAACCACCGGTTCCATCCTCTCGCGCTCAATAAATGTAAGTAAATAAAAAATGTATCTACAGTGCTCATTAGCTTTAAAACAGTGCTGCAAAGTATCGACATCACGTTAAGCAGAATAAATATTGCTTTCTGTAATAGTTAATGATTTAGGAGGAATTCTAATTCTAGCAAGGACAAGGTTTAGATGACATTCAAATTCATTAAAGTGCAGCTACAGCAGAAGAAAGTGGGCCAAGTCTGGGGGACAGCAGACAACTCAAAACAATAATGCCAGAATTAATGGGGAACCAGCTGAGCGTGTCACTGTGTTATGACCGAGGGGAGGGGGAGGGGGACAGCGGGTCAACACATGACGTGCACCACTGCACACACCCACTCACCGTCTCTGGACACGGCTGCTCTCTGCTTCAAGGCCACGGATTGCTCCACACGGACATTTCTCCCGTGTAAAGCGCTGTGTTTCGTGTCATAGGCATGCACAGTGCAAACTACTGGATCAATGGATAAAAGCATGAATGGAACAAGTTTCTTTTTTTTAGCAGCAATTTAAACAACAACACCCAGTTTTTAAAGCACTCTGACAAAAATCTGATTCAGTCTGTTGCACCCGTCCAACATTAATTAAAGCCTGTTGTCATAGTTATTGTTTTAGAGGAGTTTGAAATATTTTCTAAAATATTAACGTAGGCGTTTTTCACAAAATGTTAAAACCAATCTAGACAAAGTGCAAAACAAAATGTAAGCATATTGACTTGACAACAAATACTGCACTACAGACTGCCGCATTTATATCAAGCAATTCGCCAGGCTGAATTTAATGTGGCTTGTTGGAGAGGTGGCATATGGTCAGAGAAGAAGCCACTAGATTTCAGTGCAGATCCTGACACTATCTTGAAAATTGCACAACAGGACACTAGCCTTTGTGAAGGATTAGCTCTCAGTTTGAAAGCCCTTCCGCTTTCAAACTCAATAGCACTTCTCTATTTATGAGTATTAGGTCTCTGTGTATAAAGCTATAGTGTGTTTTGACTGTGGAGTAAAATATCCCACTCTCTTCATGTTAGTTAACACTATAGTAACAGTGCTGTGAATGGGCCCCTTAATTTTGATGTTTTATCAAAGCCTGAAAAAACAAACTGGTCAACAAGTGTTTTGCTACTGGGATTCTTTTGCCTGCACTTTAACAAATTCTACTTGCTATTTTCCAAATCTGAAAACTGTTTTCATGTGGAATGTCTCATTTCCTTGTTTTAGTTATAATATCGCAAGTATTTGACAACTAGAGACAACTGGACTGAAATGATTTGGTTTCAAGAAAAGTGAAGCCAAAATTAAGGAAGGTGTTTTTGTATGTCCTGAAATCCATCAACTGGTGCTTGAGGATGGGTTCAAAAGGAAGCAAGCATGGGAAGCATTCATCCAGGTTGTTAAGAATTTTCTATTATCCTGATTTTGAGGATAACATGTTGAAATGTACTAGAACGTCACTAAAGGTGCACTTGTTACATTCTCATCCTGACAAAATCCATGTGATGTTGTCGGTAAAAATCCTCCCTCTCTTTTTCAATGCTTTCGCCTTTCATAACTACATGGGAATCTGCCCGGCCCGGGACCCACCACCAGTCCCCTCTGAGTGCTTTCCCAAACCGCAGTCTCAATACATGCTCATGCCATGTGCCATTACCCTGACATATGCCCCGTGGCAGCTGGGACAGGCTGGATGGATGGATATTAAAATTGTCATCATCAGGGTAAAAAAAAAAAAAAAAGCAAAATAAAGAGCTGGTCTTAAGTTCCCAGTAGCAAAAAGAATGACGTATATATGCAGACCAGTGTTATAGCAGTAAACTGGGGCACTGAGATGACATTATCCATTACTCAGCACTTCTTTTGATAACTAATTGTTATCAAAAGGCACTTTTTAACATCATTTGCTGATTCCAGGCTATACTGATATGGAAATCTAATGTATATGTTTCTTTTAAGATTGTAACCACAATAATATCTCAGGCTTAGGTCAGTGATTGAACCTTACATCTTTCATGGAGGTGGGACTCATTGCAGAGACTGTATAGGCTATTAGTACCTAATAAAGTGGCAGCTATGAGTGTGCAGACTTTTAGGAGCAGTGTATTGAAATAAACGAACCTATTCCCTACATTAAATTTTGGATAACCTGAGCTGCTAAACTATCAGGAGCTAGGTAATTAGGCATTCATAACACACCTGTTCTACATAAACCAGGCCTGCGCTAAGAGGGGGAAAAGGCTGAAATAACGACCGACAAGAAACACAGCTAGCAAGAGAAACGTTGTTACTAACAGCTGGAAATGTAAGGTACCGTAGAGAACACAATTTGTCACTAAGTGCACTGTGAAAACCCATAACGTGTAACGGTCTAGCTGTCAAATTGGTAGCCATTTTTTCCTCTTGTCTCCTCCTCAGCCTCTCGGGAAAAAAAATGCTCAACGGCAGCGAGCTAACTGGCTAGCTAACTAGCTCGGATACTTCACCAGAGCCGAACCGTTTTCAAAGATGTCGGGATATTTCCCGAGTTCAGTCGATACGTACCCGTACCAAGCCATACCGCGACAGCTGCGGCGGACATGGTGCAAATCATCTCCCCGAATCTTTACATTAAACAGGACCGCTTTGTCTAATCGCCACTGGGTTTGACAGCCATAATAATAAGCATCCTGCAGCATTCCTCCCTCCGCCTCCTCCTGCCTTCACTGGAAAACACAGCAGGACCGCTCATTGGCTGAACATCTGGATGGAAAAACATGGTAAAACATGATGGGAATCGGAATATAGGAGCGCCACGCCTTTACCAAATGTTTCTATGTGATGCTCTCGGAACGGTTAGATTATATCTGGCTGCTTGCAAGGAGTGGCTGCCTCTGTGTGCGTGTGTGTGCTTTGCTGTTTATCTGTCTGCTTCTTGTATTCAGACTGATGGGATTTGTCATAATAAAGCATTCCTCCCACTAAAAGCCACAGTTTTTAGTGTTTTGGGGGGGTTGATTTATTCTTGGATCAGGACTTGCAAACACAGATACACCCTCTTAAAAACATGCAAGTCACCCCAGCAGTGCTTGACCTCCTGTGCACAGCTGTAAGCAGCAGAGGCATGTTTGGAAAGTCCTGCTCCAATCTGTCCAGCCCCCCCCCTGCAGAGACAGTCCAAGCAGACAGATGGTCATGTTTTGGCCCCCTTGGGCCCCCCCCACGCTTCCCTTGATGTCAGCTCCCACTGAGAGGGCACTTTGATATTGCAGAATAGCCTCCTAATTCTGGCTAACATACTAGCAGTGGTCACTGGGATGCTTCTTGATTGATAAATTCGTATTTGTGACTGGATTCTTGGCTTTCTCAGTGGCGATAAACATGATGCCATCCATCCTCTGTGTTCTGCAGTTCCTGGCTGTTTTCTTCTTCCACCCTCCCCTTTTATCCCCTTAAGATTATTTTTAGGTTGCTTAGCAACATCTTCTCATAGCCAGTGTTTGGACTGGGTATGAATGTATCACAACAACCACTATAGGTCTGCTGATGTACGATGATGCTTAGAAATGGAGGAAAGCGCAGAATTTGTGACTTGGAGAGAAGCAAAGCCTCCAGTGTGTCTAATTTGATACGGACTTAGACTGATTTCTGTCCAATCCGGTTCTTTTTGGTAGCAGTGAACATCAGTTTAAATTGTAATTGTCCTCAATTGGCTTGTTTTGAACAGTGGGG